TCGCGAATTTAAAATCCTGCTCGAATAACGAATCATCCGAGTTATTAATTTCGAATTGCGCGATCATTTGGATCAATCTGAAGATTCGATTACGTTCAGAATTTTTATCGCTGTAGAACTGTCACTTTAGGACTTTTCCTGGTCTTTCCGCGACGATGTAAAAAATAATTCACGCAAAATCGAGCTTAGAAAGACGTTGAATGCGAATTGAACGTTCAAAATGGCCGCAAAATAAACGGGTTGTGGACAGTGTTGTTAGACGGGCTAGGTTTTTTCGCGCATGCGCATTGAATGTAGTATTAATGAAGTAGTCACTCGCATGAAATGGGGTCCTGATTTCCCCCTCTGTTTAATTTTTCTTAAATTATTGAAAATTTTTTAAAATAATTAATGAATCGTATAATTTTTATTATAAATATAATAAATTAATTAAAAATGTTAAATATAAACATACAATAAACAAATAATGAAATTATAAAATATATACATATACGTGTACCTATGTTATAACATACGTAAATTACGAGTTTAGTTTTTATTTATACAATTTATAATTGAATTATTGATTAATTTTAATATACATAAATTATAATAATACACTTTTATATTACATATATTGTAATAATTTATTTATTTTTACGTACGTTCAATTTATGTTTCCTGCGATTCCGCCAAAACTCCGTGGTCCAGGGTCTGGTCCGTAGTTGCGCGCGCAAACATCATACGTTACTGTAGTCGTCATGGTTACGTCACGGTAATACGCGCATGCGCGAAAAAACCTAGCCCGTCTAACAACACTGGTTGTGGATATAAAAAAAAAAATATATATATATATAAATGTACACTTCACACAGATTAATAGACAGATCGCCAAAGGTCTGGATGAAGGAGAGACCAGCATTTCTCACTGATTTCAGCGCCATATCGTAGTAGTGGTCAATGCAGTAACTATTAATACGTTCCCAAGATAAGAGCGTCTCATGCTCATGAACTCGTCCGGCGGCATGTACGAGATTTATCTTTTCGTAGCGTTCGCGTATTTCGGAAAGGACAGAATTTTATGATGTTAAATAAATAAATAAATAAATAAATAAAATATTAACCTGACCTATTATAATTATTTTTAATAAATGTTTCATTATTATTATCATCTAAGTCTAAGTCGTTTAATTAATTTTTAGTTTTTTAATAATTAATTTAATTTATTCTAATCATTTTAATATGTGAAAAATACTAATACGTATACGTTTTATAATGAATTAATATATTTCGAGAGTCGAATTATATATTTTTAATAATATAAAAGTGTTCAAAAATTATATTTGACTTTTAATTTTAATTATTTTAGCAAAGAGTTCCGAAATCTCTTACACACATAATAGGGATTTTGTTCATCCATATAATTCGCAATTAAGTATATATGTTAATTATTAATTTTAATAAAATACAAAATTAAAATTAAAGGTCAAATATAATTTTTGAACATAAATATATTTAATTCGTTATAAAACGTATACCCGTGATAGTATTTTTCTCGTACAAAAATAACTAGAACAAATTAAATTACTCATAAAAAAATAAAAAAATAATTAAATAATTTATATTATATATGATAATAATAAAACATTTTATAAAAAAAACAGATTCAATAAATATAAGTATATATATAACATGTACTTATATTTATTGAATCTGTTTTTTAATAAAATGTTTTATAAGCTTAGAAAACTTGACTTTGACGTAACTAGCAAATTTTATTTAATTATTTCACGACGGTTTGACGTAATAAAATGTTTTATTATTATTATATAAAATATAAGTTTAAATTCTTTAATTAATTTTTAATCTTTTATGATTAATTTAATTTACTCTAATTATTTTTGTACGAGAAAAATACTATCATGGGTATACGTTTTATAATTAATTTAATATATTTGTGTTTAAAAATTATATTTGACCTTTAATTTTAATTTTTATTTTATTAAAATTAATAATTAACATATATACTTAATTGCGAATTATATGGATGAAAAAAATCCCCATTATGTGTGTAAGAGATTTCGGAACTCTTTGCTATAAAATAATTAAAATTAAAAGTCAAATATAATTTTTGAACACTTTTATATTATTAAGAATATATAATTCGGTTCCCGAAATATATTAATTCATTATAAAACGTATACGTGATATTATTTTTCTCATATAAAAATGACTAGAATAAATTAAATTAATTATTAAAAAACTAAAAAGTAATTAAACGACTTAGACTTAGATGATAATAATAATGAAACATTTTATTAAAAAAAGATTCAATAACTAGTAGGTCAGGTTATAATTTTTTATTTATTTATTTATAACATTATGAGCTATTAAGCTCATCATCTCGTTCGCTCTCTGTCTTGCTTTCATTCGGCAAGTCACAAACGATATATGATACTCGTATGTTCCTACTTCAACTCTCGAGAATCTGAAACAAACGAAACTCGTGTCCAATATACAGGGTGTCCGGTAACTAACAGACCAATGATTACAAATGGATTCTTTGGTCAATTTGGGAACGATTTTTCCTCAGCGAAAATGTCGAAAAAGGTCATCATTTTTTACAACTTTCCAATCTTTGTCATTATGTATCTTTATAACTAAGCCTTAAATTAAAATTTTATTATAGTAAACTCTACCTGAAATTAACTGAAGAATGTAATTATGTTAGACTTTTAACTCCAAAACGTTTAGTTTTCAAAAAACCTATTTTTTTCAATCGCTTATAACTCGAAAATTATTGACTTCTCAACATTTTTGCTAAGGAAAAATCGTCTCCAAATTGGCCAGAGAATCCGCCCTTAATCATTGGTCCGTTAGTTACCGGACACCTTGTATATATTATATAAAAGTGTATAGCACGTCAGAAGCTTGTGAGCTTACAGCGATAAGTAAAAACAATTGCGTATTTATTTCATTGCGTTTATCTGTTTAAACGCGCGCTTTAATTTTTCCAACGTTTTTGCCTGTTTATATTTTAAAGGTCCTCTCTTCTAAAAATCTTGTTTTAAAGATCCTCTCCGCGAGCAAAATTCGAAAACATAAATTATTTAATATTTTTACTTTATTATTTGTAAATCCTCGGTAATTTCAAAATTTTTCTATTTGAAAATTATTAATTTTCTATTGCCAATTAATTTTATCACAGACTTTACTCTTACTCCCATTGCACTTTCGTTTGCGGTTTTCAGTATACGATTTTTTATCGTAGTTACTGAAAATTATTATTGTGAATTATACTTGTGCAGTGATTTGAAGAATTTACAATTTCGTTGAAATTGTTGATTTTTCAAAAAAATTACGAGATTCGCGGAAATTGCGTGCTTTCTTGGCATTTTCCGTTCGCGGCAGGCGGTTTATTTTTGATTGTTGCAAGTGTTTTTTTTTTTTTTTATTAAAATAGATAATAATAATGTGAAATAAATCACGATATTTGACAGATGTGCATATATATAGAAATTGTAATAATAATAATATTATATCATAAAATTGTAAATTGTTTCAATTTTTTATAGACTGCGATAAAAGATTTTACATTTGGATAAGAAACTGCGGTAAGTAAAAATATAAAATTCTTGAAAACGTAAAAATATTTGATAACGTAAAAAGGTGAACTTTGAAAAATAAGGAACTTAAAAATTGCACTAATAAATGGGCTATATATATGTGAGCCGTGCGCGGATGTAAGGTGTGTTATATCGAAATTTAATTAATAGAATTGAGAATTAATCCCAATTTTAAGTCTTACAAATGTCCAAGCTAATTTTTTGTACCTCGTGTACATTTTTGAAAGTTATATCGAAAAATTAAATTTCAATATGCGTCTTACATCTCACATTTCGCATACGGCTCACATATAGCCTATTTATCTCTTATACTTTATTTCAACCCTTATAGAAATTTATTACTAGTAACGCCAATTTATCACTTATTTCGAGTAATTAATCACTTTTATTTCGAATACTTAAATTACTGTATATTATAGTATTTTAAATACTCAAAATAAGTGATTAATTGGCGTAGTGATAAATTTCTACAAGAGAATAAGGAGCCTTTAAATTCTTAATGTAAAAAATTTCAAGTAATTTTCTTTAATAAAATTTAATTAAAAAATTTAATTAAAAAATTTTTGAACACTGTGTTATATCACATTTAAAATCGTGATTATTTCAATAAAAAAACATTTTATGTGTAAAAAATATATTTTTTATATTTAATAAATTTATATATATATATGCATATATGTAAAATATTCTCTCTCTCTCTCTCTCTCTCTCTCTCACACACACACACACACACACAACGGGGGCCAAATCTCTCAAATTGGTCTCATGATCAATTAGCCTGGATTCGCACCAGGGGCAAAGTCTGTTGGTAATGTCAAACGAATTTAGCCTGGACTTGCACCAGGGGCAAAGTCTTTTGGTCGAGTCTACGAAATTTAGCACGGACTCGAACCAGGGGCAAAGTCTTTTGGTTCAAGTCTACGAAATTTAGCACGGACTCGAACCAGGGGCAAAGTGTGTCGGTAAGGGGCAAAGTCTATCGCACGAAGATGGCGGTCTCTTCTTTAGGCAGGCCTTTGGCGATCTGTCTATTAATCTGTGACTTCGAACTGATTTCGAACCTCTCTCTTTATTGAGCGAGATCTTTTAGAATCTTACTAAGTATGTGATTTTTGGAAAAATCGACGATTATTATTAATCTTCGTGTTCTTCTCCTTCTTATATTTCGCGTCGTTGAAAACGAAGCTTGCCTAACTTGCATCGCACTACGACTGAAGTGAGCGCAATTGGGTTGTCATAATCGTATGACTCCGTGGCGCAACGGTAGCGCGTCTGACTCCAGATCAGAAGGTTGCGTGTTCAAATCACGTCGGGGTCAAATTACTTTTTGTTTTTATGTACTTACTATCTATGTTATTGTTTTCTTAATTTGTGAATAAATTGTAAAAAAATAATTTTTTAATGTCAAATTTAACTATAAATTTACTTCTTGAGCTTCCACTTTTTCGTGCACTTTCTGCACATAAAACGAACATATGTACACAAAATGCATCCTCGTTTTAATATATGAAAAGCAATCAGAAAGCATATAAATGCGCGTTGAATTTAATTCCACAATATGAAAGCATAAGTGAAAATTTTACGTTGAAAATTAGTGAAATTGATAATTACAGATTTGTTTTGGCGTGTAAATAAAGAAAGGAAATTAGTGTGTTAGGTGCATTCACACTCTCAATTTTTCTATATTCTTAGATGTTTTATTCTAGTTGGAACAAATTATAGCTTCAATATATATTAAAAAAAAAATAAAATAAAGCTTCTAACTAAAGTATTAATCTTAACCTTAAAGTATTCGTCAAAAATATCGATACATTTACACAAGGTGTGCTTTATCTGGTTTGAATATATTTTATCACATACATATTTTCATTCGTTTATTTAGAATTATACTTTATCATTTCTAATTATTTGTTAATTCTAATTTTATTATTTCATCATATAATTATAATAACAATAATATCAGCACGTAAATTTGTATACAAAAGTGATTTAGGATTAGGAAGTCAAATAGGTTAGAAGAAAGTTTAAAGAACATTTAAAAAAATATTTAATTATAATTTAAAAAATCAATGAAAAACACCTTGCCATTTATTTAGATCTTTTAAATAACTTGTGTGTGTGTGTGTGTGTATATGTATATACATATATATATATTTAAATAAGATTTTTTGAATTCTTTTACATTCTTAATTAATTTCAATTTTTCAGATTATACTGAGTTCAATGCAGTGAATGCTTCGAAAATAATAAATTTATTAAATATATAAAATTAGCATCAAAACTCTCTGTCATCTGAAAACATACGATATGAAAGTGTAAGTTGTCCTTATATTCGTTAAATCTCTTTATTTCATCTCAAAAATATTATTTATATGTTTTAGTATAAAAGCTAATTGGAATACTCTTTTGAGCAATTACGAGGTTCTGGATATCTTGCGGAACACAAAGTCTTATAAACAGAAACCATCAAATCAATTGGCGACTGTTACTTATCAGACAATCAAGTATTTGGAAACCATGCCGTGCAAGACGCAAAGTCCAGAAAAAATCAAGGAATTTTTAAAAGCAATGGAGCCTATCAAATTGACTAAAGCTGAAAAGCTTGCTCTTCTCAATCTTTGTCCTACTAGACCAATCGAAATACAATTGGTATGGTATTTTTTTTTAAGTTGCAAGTTTGAGTTTGATTAACATTGAATATTTTGGAATAATTTTTTGTATCTTTAAACACAGTTAGTAGAAGAAAGCGAGGAACGTCTAACAGAAGAGGAAGTTGAAACTGTGTTGCAGATAGTTGCAAATGTGCGTGGAGATTATGAATATAAAGAAGAAGAGACTTAATCTAGATCTTAACATAACTCTTATTTAAATATATTTTATATGTACATTTTATTTTATAATAAAACATGACTGGAAATAGTATATTAAATACAATTGTGCGTACATAGTATCTGTAGCCTTATCTCTTTTGATCTCCAAGATCATCTATAGAATCTTCATCAATCTAAAGAAAATAATAAAATATTCCATTTAAAAATTTTGTATTTAATATATATTTTTTTTCCAAACTTACTTGTGGCCATTTGTCTGGTATGACTTCGAAGAGATCATCCTTGACATCTCCTTGTATGACAATTTCATCATCTCCGGTCACACTGGACCCACAAGCAAATTTACTGCCAAAGAACTTTGCTGCTACCTTCAAATCTATATCTGTAAATTAAATAAATATATTTTTGATTATAAACGTTTGATTCATTCATCTTTTATTCATAATTAGAATTAATCAATTAACGGTATTACCAAAAGTGCTGAGGCCAGTTACAACTGTGACAGATTTCTTCTTTCCTCTAGGTGCTCTAGAAACTGTTATTAATCGTGGTATGTCTTCCTTCTTTTTAGTTTTCAACATACCCTTGCCACCTCGCTTTTGTCGCTTTTTCTCGTCCTCTCCTCCACCAGCTTCCGTGGAACCATCCTCTGTAGCTGATCAAAGCATAATTCTTCAGTTAAATAAGTTCAAAATTGATTAAAAAATATTTGTCAGTGTTCTAATTACCTAATTTCATTCTCTCAAATTCAGTAGGTAGATTCCTCTCCAACCATTGCTTGCACTTATCGTACTCAGGATAATATTCGCAATACTGTAAATCAATGATTCAATATTAATCATTATTATTAACTTTCAATATCAATTTCTCTTTTTTTTATAAAAATATGTGTATCTCCATTGAACGTAAAATCTCAGCTTTAAAGACTAAATAATTTTTTTCATGACTTTTTTAATAAGAGTTCTAAAACTCAGTTACAATTAATTTTAATTATTAACCAGTATATGTATATTTTCGTTTGTCGTGCATACTAATTAATATCGAAAATTGTTTGTAACTTACCTCGATAGGTAGCGAGCAATTTCCGCAATATTGGACCTGAATCGGATAAGTAACATTCGGATCGGGTCCTAATCGAAATTCCGGTTGTTCTTCCGCTAACATTCTTGCGAAGTCGAATCTCAGATCACGACTGAATCAGGATAGAATTCCACCAGGAATAGCTAATGAATTTTTTGTCGTATCCTGGAAACGCGATTTCGCTAATTTTATAATACTGTCAACTACTATCGAATATGTCGCACTGCGCGCGTTTTAAGGTTAAGGGTCGACAGGTCGGTCGGCCAAACTCCGAATTGATGTTGGAGACCTCGCGCGGTGACAACGCGAAACTCCGATTTCAGTGTTGCCAACGCCGAGAAACCAATTCTCGGGTTTTATGTAGTGGTGCATGTCTGTACACGTACATACACCATTGCATTGCTCACGCGGATGCACCGTAGAAAGACAAGGACCGATAATCACGTGTTCTCCTTGTTCCTCTACCGTGCCGGTATACGCGAGATGCCGCCTGAAAATGCTTTCTGGCCTTCCGTAGCAGAAGGCAGTAGCGTAGCAAGGCTAATAAGTACCTACTTTTTATAAATTTTATATATCCTTATGCACATATGTGCGTATATATATATATATATATATATATATATATATATATATATATATATATATATTATATAAGAGATATGTTGATTATTCTTGATTTCTTTTTGATTATTGATCGATGCTATTGTATAATTTGCTCCAATAACTTATAACGTGAAAGAACGTACCGTTGAGTAATATATAATCAATGCAAGGATGTTCAGTATATCATCCAGTAAATTATATTAGAGTTCATATATATCAATATCAATTTTTTATAATACAATATATATATATATATATATTGGAATATAGAAAAATGATAAAATATATTTCGGCGATTTAAAAATTTTTTAATATATTGAAAATATTTTTACTACATATATATAAGTGTAAAATAATTCAGAAAATAAATTTAATAAAAATCTACATACCAGCTGTGTGCATGTGTGCAATTGATTTATTGAAATTTATTTACGGAAGTATTTTGCATTTATATATTTATAGTGTGTGTAGTTGTAAAATGATTAAAATATTTTCAATATCAAATTTTTAAGTTTATCGCCTATATAAAAAATATATTTCTATGATTTTCTATATTCTCCCAATAAGCACAAGTACATCCTATGTACGTACAACGGATGTCCGATCCGGACATTGTGTACATCCATCGGATGTCCAGATTACCTGCAGCGGACGTACAAGGGACGTCCATTGTACGTCCGTTTGCAACTGGTCTGGACGTCCATAAGTCGTCCATTATTGGTCATTTATGGATTTTAAATGGATAAATTATGTATCTAACGGACGAATTTTGGATCTCATATAAACTAATTATGGATCTAATGGACGAATTTTGGATCTTTTATGAATAAATTTTAAATCTTTAATAAACATATTTTGGTTCTTTATTATACATGTATATCATTGAAAATGACATTTAAAATTCATAAAGAAGAAATTTATAAGCAATAATAAATTTGACATGCAAAATTAATTCATTTTTATACTAATCATAAAATATTGCAGAATATTTCTTATTTTCGCATTTTATTTATCCGAATTTTTATTTGTTCAATTTTTTCAATTAATTCAATATCTAAATTTTTTGTGTTGGGATAGTATCAGAAAGGTTAAACTGATCAGAATAATTATAACATATTTAACTGTAATAGCCACTTTTTGCATGCGCTTTATAATTCTCTTAACTAAATTTAATAGCGAGATGAACAGCGAATCTTGCGTCGCATAGCGGCAAATGAAGGAACTATTACAAGATAATATTGCATAGTATATTTTGCAATGTCTCCAATAAAATATTAAATTTATAATATTTGCACAATGTTGCTTCAATATTTATTATGATACAATGAAATAAAATATTTATGCAATATTTTAGCAATATTTCGTGCTGTAAGAGAATTTGATGGACATCCTGTGGACGTCCAAATATTAGTCACTGATGGATGTCCGAAATCGGATGTACAATGGACGTTCATTTCATGTCCATGGACGTACATACGTAAAATGGATATAAAATGTACGTCCATAGGACGTCTTGTGCTATCTGGCTAATATATTATAAAAAAATTGATATTGATATATTTGAACTCAAGTTTTTTACGTGATTAAATATTCTTGCATTGAGCCATCATACGTTACTCGTAAGTTCTTTCATATCTGTATATATATATATATATACACTTATATATATATATTATATATATATAATATTTCATTTATTTATAAAATACATTTTTAATTCATATTCAACCTGAATGATATTTTCTATATGTTTATGCTATCCTCCGATCTATCCCTAACAAATTAGGAGGTGTAATTGCATTATTATCATCAATTATTATCTTATATTTTTTACCTCTAATTTCTATAAAATTTAATTCATTATCATTTTATCCTTTAAATCAATATTTATTTTGAATTTTCATTAATATTTTTATTCTATTAACATGAGCAGGAGCTCAACCTTTTATCATTATTAGACAAATTTTATCATTATGTTACTTTCTTTATTTTATCTTATTACCTTTCCTAATAAAAATTTGAGATTTAATTATTTTTAAATAAATATTTTAAAATTTATTATTATAAATAAATTTAAAATATTAAAAATAATTATATTTAATATTTAAATTTTTTATAAATTACTATTAAATTCCCATACAGCACCGATAGATTGCAAAAACATTACAACAATCTTTCACCGCAATATTGCAATATTGCAAATTCACTGCAAAATGTTGCTACATCATTGCTGTTGAATTGCAGCAATGTTAAAATGTCCGTTTTTTGGAAGATTGTAACAAAATATTACAACAATATTGCAATATGTTATGAGTTTGCAATAATGCATTGTTATTGCAACCATAAACTAATGTTGCATATACAGGTATATAAATGTAAATAAATCATTAATGAAAATACGTTGTAGTTAATTTATATATATTACAATATATAAATTATAGAATTTGGATTACATGCAATATTTCCGAAATATTAATGTCATGTTGCTACAAGTGTGCTGGAATTTTGTGCACTTATATCTCTGCAATGTCTTTATAATGTTGCATTGCAACTTGCAACGTTGCAACGTTGCTGCAATATAATTGCAATAATCTGTGCTGTATGGGTTAAGTTAATAATCTTGAATTTAAGTTTATGTTTTGAAAACATATTAAAGAAATTTTAATTTTCTATTAACTTTTAAACATTTAATTTTTTTACTAAATTATTATTAATAATATAAATTTAAATCCAAAAATTAATAAAATATAAACCAAAATTATTGGTAAAATAATTTTCCAACATAAATATATTAATTTATCATATTGTATTCGAGGAAGTATTCCATGTATAAAAATTACTATTCTACATAAAATATTAATTAAAATAAAGTTAAAATTATTGAATATTTTAATAAATTCCTAAATATATAAATTCTAATTAATGTAAACCCACCCCTAAAATATTCAATATTAAATCATCTGACTCACTTTCGATAAAATCTATAGGACTTCGATTTAATTCAGCTAAAATCCTAATAAACACTATAATAAACAAAGGATATAAAACTACTATATATCATAAATAAAATTGATAATTAATAAAATCAAAAAAAGAATATCTCTCTCTTATTAATATAATAACTAAAATAATTAAAATAAATCTTACTTCATATGATAATATTTGTGAAACTGATCGTATTGCTCCTATTATTGAATAAATCGAATTAGCTGATCATCCCATAAAAATTATAACATACCCTCTAATAGTTATAAAAACAATTATTAATAAAATAGAATAATTTAAAAAATAAATATTAGTAATGTAAGGAAATACTAATCATATTATTATTAAAACAAATCTAATTATAGGACATAAATAAAAAAAATTATAATTAGATTTATATACATAAAATAATTCTTTATTAAATAATTTAATAGCATCACTAAAAGATTGAAATAATCCTATAAATCCCACCTTATTAGGTTCTTTACGAATTTGTACATATCTTAAAATTTTTCGTTCCAATAAAGTTAAAAAAGCTACCCCAACTAATATAATTAATAACAAAATTAACAATCTTAATATATTTAACGCACTATAAAAATATAATCTTAAATTTTGACAAATTATTACTTGTATAACTTTTTTCTATTATACATCATTAAAATTCTAAATTTAATACACTTAAATTTTGCCAAAGTAATTTTATTTATTTACATATATTTGATCAATTAAATTTATTCATTAAAAAAAATATAATTTAAAAAAAAGTCCTTTTGTACAAAATTTTCTTAATTTTATTATAGATAGAAACCGATCTGGCTTACACCGATCTGAACTCAAATCATGTAAAATTTTATTAGTCGAACAGACTAAAATATTAAACTTCTTTATTTAATTTTTATTTTAATTTAACATCGAGGTCGCAATCATTTTTATTAATATGATCTTTCTAAAAATATTACGCTATTATCCCTAAGGTAATTAATTTTTATAATTATTATAAAAAAAAAAATTTTTTTAATTTAATAATCAATTCTTTATAAAAATTTCATTAATTAATGTTAAAATTATCTTTAAATTAAAGTTCATTTTATTTAATTATCCTCCCAATAAAATATAATCATTAAAATAAAATTTATTTCCTTAAATAAAAAAATTATATTAATTTAATAGGGTCTTCTCGTCCCATAATTTCTTTTAAGAATTTTAACTTAAAATTTAAATTTTAAATCTACAAATTAAAACAGCTTTAATCAATTCCTTCATTCCAGTTTTCATTTAAAAAACAATTGATTATGCTACCTTTGCACCGTCAATATACTGCGGCTATTTAAAAATCACTGAGCAGAAATAATTTTAAATTATTATCAAAAAACCATGTTTTTGTTAAACAAGTAAATTAATGAAAATTAATGTGTATATGCATTACAATATATTCAATACAATATTCTCTTAATTTGAACGAAAATTATAAATAACTTATGCGTAACATATATTTTTGGACTCCTAAATAAAAAATATATTATATTATTTGCAAAAAATAAGATGAAATATTTTTTATTCGAATAGTCTCAACTGCTCTTTTAGCTGAATGTTTAGAAGCAATGAAAAAAATCGAGGATCTACGAAAAATTTAAGTACATTTCTAAGATTTTTTTATATGATATAAAAAAAATATATGGTATATAAATTGATTTTT